CTCATTCTCAAATAATAAAAATAAAATAAAATCTTAGAACCAGTGATGGTACAGAATGTAAATGAATTATCAACTTTCTATATACAAAAGCATCTCACTAACTTCATTGAGGTATGATTTCTTAAAAATTCACTGTAAGTTTGACAAAGATACAGTTCTGGTTTTTTACACAGCTTTGGTTTTTTTTGAAAGTATCAGATCAGAGAAATCAAGTGACTTGCTCAAGGTCATTCGGTCAAATCAGGTAAGATTAGAATTACTGGTTCCTGCCTTCCAAAAGCCAGCCATAAATCAAACTTTTCTTGGAACTACGCAGGCCAAAAATGTCAAAATCACTCCCCATCTCCTTTCTTCAGTAATCAAGAAAAATGAGAAAAATTAAATGTAGAACAGAATTTTTTTTAATTCCCCCCCCGAATTTCAATTAATAAAATGTCATCAATGTATAAACAATTACCCCCAACCATCCACAGGTACCTCTCTCAAAACTGGTAACTGTTTTAAAAATTTGCTGCCGGGCGCGGTGGCTCAAGCCTGTAATCCCAGCACTTTGGGAGGCCGAGGCGGATGGATCACGAGGTCAAGAGATCGAGACCATCCTGGTCAACATGGTGAAACCCCGTCTCTACTAAAAATACAAAACAGTAGCTGGGCATGGTGGTGCGTGCCTGTAATCCCAGCTACTCAGGTGGTTGAGGCAGGAGAACTGCCTGAACCCAGGAGGCAGAAGTTGCGGTGAGCTGAGATCGCACCATTGCACTCCAGCCTGGGTAACAAGAGCGAAACTCCGTCTCAAAAAAAAAAAAAAAAAAATTTGCTAAGGTCAGTAACCTCTATACAACGTTGCCATATGATTGCACCATAAACTTATTAAGATTTTAAATCAGCACTTCTTAAGTATATTTACAAATAGCTCACTGCTGTTATCTTTTAAAAGACCCGATCAGACTGAAGTATGAAAGTACTCTGAGCACTTGGACTTTTTTTTTTTTTAAGTTAACAGGTCATAAATAAGTTCAAAGTTTTCTGTAAAACCCTGAAGGGAATAGGGATATTTCAACATTGCAAATAAAACAAGTTATTAAATAAATAACAATCATACAGGCTTGGGGGTAGAGGGTTGAAGAGAAGGGACATCACATTTTTGTGCAACGTTATTACCTTGCTCTGTCTTTTTCAAATCTACCACTTTCTCTTTCACTCTCTCACTTTCTGTCCCAACCTTCTCCTTTTAAATGGCCGATATAAAACGCTACTTCTAAAATTAACAATACGAACACAACTCCTGGCCAGGTATGGCCTGTAATCCCAGCGCTTTGGCAGACTGAGGTGGGTGGATCACGTGAGGTCAGGAGTTCAAGACCAGCCTGGCCAACATGGCAAAACCCCATCTCTACTATAAATACAAAAATTGGCTGGAGGTGGCAGGTGCCTATAATCCCACCTACTCAGGAAGCTGAAGCAGGAGAATTGCTTGAACCCAGGGGCAGAGGCTGCAGTGAGCCAAGATTGCACCACTTCACTCCAGCCTGGATAAAAAAAGCAAAACTCTATCTCAAAAAAATAAATAAATAAAAAATAAAAAATAAAAATCCCAGTGATGCCATATTTTTAAAACATTAAATGGATCAAATGGGGTTATTACAGTAGCTTAGGGCACTTTATATTTTTTGCAAACACACTGGTAGTCTTATTTAGTCATTTTCCTCATATCCAATTTTCTAGGTAAGATGGTACCCTGTTTCACAGATGACTCTTAAGTCCAAGAAAAGTTTCCTTTGCTCTTAGGCTATGGCTCACCCATATTAAGGGGCATTAGATCTCAAAAATACTAAGTTAATAGTTAGGCTGAAATTCTGCCTGGGTTACAGTACACACGGACAATTTAAAACATTTATAGCCAACATGATTTTTCTTACTTCAAATTCAAGTCTACTATTTCTGAACGTAACTGTAATATACTCTTTGAGTGAAGATATCTCTAGCCCTTGAGCACAATGTAGCCACAGGGCATACAAAGCAAATCAAAAGCAAGCACTGGAAAAAGTTAAACCTGGAAGAAAATACAAGACCAACGCTTTCCACTGTGCCGGAAAACAGAACTGTCACTAGGAAATTTATTAAAGTGAACTACATGAAACTTGCTGATATACAACTGTTTTGACATGCAAAAACAGAAACTTCATCTGGCTCAACCTAATATTATTTTCTAAGCTCATTTTAATAACTGTTCAAATAAGGTATTCCTATCCCAAGGAACATAAAACAACCCTTTATTTCTCCAAATGGCCTTAACCTTTGGAAAAAATTTGCCACCCCACTGTCCAAAGCTAGACATTTGAAAAATTTAAGTTCATTAAAAAAAGACTGTGCATCATAGCCAGATGCTGTTTCTACAAAAACTTGTTTTAAGTTAGCCAGGCAAGGTGGCATGTACCTGTAGTCCCAGCTACTCAGGAGGCTGAGGCAGGAGGATCGCTTGTGCCTGGGTGCTGAAGGCTGCAGTAAGCTATGAGCACCACTGCACTCTAGCCTGGGCAACAGAGTGAGACTCTGTCTCAAAAAAAAAAAAAAAAATTCTACTCCACATCCGTTTTTAATTGTTCCCCTTTCCCAGGAACAAAATTTCCATCCTAAGTAGAATTGCCCTTCAAAAGGCTTACATTCAAGGAGATACATTACTAATGAAAATGTAAGTGCTCTGCACGTTTTTCAGCTATCAGATACAGGATTCTAGGCATAGCAGTAGCACACTTTACACAGGGGTTCCACTGACCTAAAAATCTACTGTTGAGGAATCTTAATTAAGTTGGTAAGTTCCATTTCTGTTGGAGAATCTGGCTTCTAACCTTTCTAATCAAAAGGGTGATTACCATCCCAGTGGGATACAGTTTTCCATTTAAACATAGCTGATTTATGGACTCAGAGCAGAAATACCTGTCACATTCACAAAAGGAGAAAAAAAAAGGTTATGTCTCTAAGACTGCCTCTAGGTCCAAATCCATCTTTTCACACCCATTTTTATTAGAGTCTAATAGCCAACATGATAATGAACTCTTTTCTCAATTAATTCCACTAATTAGTTATCTGTTCCTTTTCTGCCAGAATCCCAACCCTTTTACAATCTACTCATCAAATCCATCAGGCCACATACTATACCTTCCTAGAGAGACACTTTTCCCTATGACACTTTGTAAACAGGGCAATCTGATGCTGCCTATTCTATCTTCCCAGATCTAGCTGATAGTTCAAAACATCAACATTAACCACAAGTAAAATATGCTTAAAAAAATAATCAGGAGACAATCTCCTGCTCTATCTGGAAATTTCTCTATTCAGCTAGTTCAGTGTTGACAGGTCAACAGAGAATGGCAGTAGTTATTGCTACAATCCTAAAAGGCATTTCCCTACAGCTGAACCATCAACCCTTTCCTAACATCCATATAATCCAAAATTTTCCTAGCAGAATTTACTCTCCCTGCCCCAGTCCCAGCAGCATCGTCTGATCATTTCTCAACATAAACTGAGGTTTCCTCACAGTGATGCCAAGTCAGGCAAACGCATTCCTTAAGCCTTCCCCTAACTCTCTTCCTGGAAGTTACATGTAATAGCTGCTTTTATTTACCTATTTTTGAAACTCTTCAAGCATCAGGTACAGTGCTAAGTGCTTTTAAAAGGCATTTATCTACTTCCATCCTTAACACGGTATGACACTGGGATTCATACTCCCATTTTACAGAGGAGAAAAGCTAAGGCTTAGTAACCTGCCCAAGGTCATCCAGGGCAGAGATTAGAATCCAAGTCTGACTGACCTCTGGTGTCCTCTGCTCTTAAACCTTCATGCTGTCTTTCCTTCTGATCTCTTCCTGTCCTAGAAGATGCCCTGTGGTCTTACAAAAGACTATGCTTGGGGCGAGGTAGGGGAGGGGTGGGAGGGTCAGCTTCTCCAGTGACTCTGAAAAGAAGGAGTACTCATTCCATCTTTCCTCCATTCTCCCCCTTCTCACCTGGTACCAATTCCCAAAGGCCCCAGTCATATCCCCTTCTCTAGGGCCAATTTAAACTTCTTTGTCCCCAGAGCAGGCACTATCCGATACTGAAGAGCTACCATCTACCCTCAAGGCTGGGAGAGGGCAGAAGTGGAAGGAAAGGGGAACGCAGAGAGCACCCCTTTCCCAGGTCTTCAATTGAGAAAGAAGCTGTAGCTGAAAGACTGGGGGGCTGGGGGCAGAGGTGACAAGGATGTGCCCTTGGGGGTACGCGAGGTGCGAGTGAAGGAGATGGGGAGGAGGCAGGGGACGATCAGGGGGTTAGCAGAAAATTGAATGAGGGTGGACCTCTGTAATGGGAAGGGGGGGTGCCACCGGCAAGCAGAGATATCAGGCCACTGAAGAGATGAACCTGAGTTAGGGAGGAGGACCTGGAGGTTGATGTAACCGGGGAAGCGAGGGAGGCAGGGGGCTCACGGGAGCAGGAAACGATGGAGTCACGGGGAGTGGGGGAAGATGGATGGGAGCCGAGAAGGTGGGGCGGCCTGAGACCCGGGCACACGGGCTTGGCAAGGAGAGGCGGGGGTTTGGGGTGCGGGGAATGCCGGGAATGGGGTTCCAGGAGACCCCGGGGACTGGAAGGGCAAGAGAGAGTTCTCGAGCCGAAGAGCGAGAAGTGCGAGTTCCAGCGGCAAGGGGGTCCCAGAGCAAAGGGCGGGCGTGAAGGCGTCGTCCGGTTCGCGAGGGCGGCGTTAGGAGGGGCGGGGTGGGCCGGAGGTTGGCGCGGGAAAGGGGTCCCGGGAGCTCCTTAGGGTGCGGATGGCGGGAATGTCCTGGCGTCCCCGAGAGCTGGGCGCGGGATCCCCAGAGCGCCGGGCCGGGACCCGAGAGTCTTCGGAGGACCACTCTCCGGGCCGCCTCCGGGCCGGGGCCCCTCAGGGAGGGGCGGGGATTCCCCGGGTCCCGTCAAGGCCATAGCCGCGGCCGCGGGGTCCCAAGCCCCCTTCCTACCTATGCCGGGCGCCACATAGACGAAGTAGAGCAGCGAGGACGACAGCGAGAAGAAGAAGAGCGCGGCGAGCAGCGAGCGGCGCGGCAGCCGCAGCAGCCCCCGGCGGGCGCGCATGCTGCAGCCGGGCGGCCGCTCGAGAGCCGGGCCGGGCCTGCTCCCGCCGCTCCCAGTCCGCCGCCTCCTGGGCCGCCGCCGCCGCCGCCTGGGCCTCGGCCACCACCTCCCGGGCCTCGCTGGCCACCACTCGCCGCCGCTGTCTCGCAGCTCCCAGCCGCCGGCCGCCGCGGGCCGGGCAACATGAAGCGGGCGGGGGCCAGAGCGGCCCCGAGCGGGCGCAGCGGCGGGGGCGGGGCGGGGCGCACGCGCGGGAGGTGGAGCCAGCGCCGCCGGGCACCGTCGCAAAAGATCCGCGCGCCTGCGCTCGCCGCCGACCCCTGCCCGGCCCCCGCGGCGGCCCGCATGGAATATCGCCAAATGGCGACAGCCCCTCTCCCAGTGCGGCCACCGCCCAAGCTCTCGGGGAACGTCTGCCAAGTGCTCCTCGCTCGCTCGCCCCCATCTCAGGGCCAAGGGGTCATCTACAAAGTCTGACCGATCTCGTTGCCCACTGCGGCAGAAGAGTGGGGATTGCAAGGCTTTGGGGGTTCGGCCTGGTATACACCTTCATTCATTCATTCATTTATTCACTCATTCATTCAGTTCACCATTTATTTATTGAATGCCAGACAGTTGTTGCACTGAGCATGCTACAGAGAAAAAACGATAAAATCTCTTTCTTCTTGAAACTTATGTGAGAGGTGAAAGAAACAAATCAACTAGTAATACCAGGTACTGATAACACGTATGAATATGATAAAACAGGAGGACGTATTGCAGGCGGCTGGAGTGGTCAAGGAAGGCCTCACTGAGCAGGTGACACGAGCTGAGACATAAAAGGATGAGAAAGAGTCAGCTCTTTAGAATAAGCTGGGGAAAGAACAGTCATACCAGGAGTAACAGCAGGCGCAAAGGTCCTGAGGTAGGAAAAGGGCTGATCTGCCCCTGGGGTTGAATCCAAGGCCAACATGTATAAAATCCAGTGAAATAAAGAGAGGAATAGGGATGAGCTTGGAGTTCTAGTCAGTGTCCACATCCTACTGTATCAGAAATAGCATAATGATAACTGTCAATATCTCTAGACTTTTGCTGAGAAACATGGACTTTACTAATGCCATGAAATCCCCCCACCAGTCTTGAGATGTATGCTTTTATTATTACGATCATACAAGTGAGGAAACAGGTTTCTAGATGGAATGGCAATTCACCCAAGCCTTGCAGTAAGTGCTCAAATCAAAACTGGGCTGTCTCCCATGTCAGGCCCTTGACCTCTAGGTTGTAACTGTCTCAGCAGTCCTTGTGGCCTCTAAGTGGTTTGTTGTTGTTGTTTTGAGACAGAGTCCCGCTCTGTCACCCAGGCTGGAGTGCAGTGGCTCGATCACAGCTCACTGCAACCTCTGCCTCCTGGGTCCAAGCAATTCTCCTGCCTCAGCCTCACAAGTAGCTGGGATTACAGGCATCCGCCACCATGCCCAGCTAATTTTTTTGTATTTTTAGTACAGACGGGGTCTCACGATATTGGCCAGGCTGGTCTCAAACTCCTGACCTTGTGATCCATGTGGCCTCTAATTCTTTTCCTACAGGCAAATCAATAACCTATGCCCATCACCTGGGTATGTGACCATTTCCAAAACAATGCTTTCCGAACAGCATCAGCCCAGAGGACGTCAGAAGGCAATGAGCAGTTCTAGAGATTTATGGCGAGGGGCAGTAGCTTCAAGGAGCTGGACTGGGAGGCAAGTGTCCCCTGTGTAGACATATCTGAAACTAGGGTACTGTCTCGGAATGCCAGAAGCAGTGGGGAGGGGAGAGGACTTTGCAGGGATTCTGTGAGAATCAACTATAATCCTGATTTATATTTCTAAAGTGATTTCTACTTTTTCCAGTGTTTCTTTGATCCTTTAAGTGGGAGGTCTAGAGCCACACTGCCCAGGTTCTCCAACCCCCAGCTCTTCCATTGTTAGCTCTGTGACTTCATGCAAGTTAAACTCTCTGTGTCTCCGTAAAATGGAGGATGTCATTAGTAGCAACCTCATCAGGTTGTTGCAAGGATTTAAGTAACATATGCAAAGCCTAACTCATAGTAAGTGCACTTAGCTGTCACCTAATTCAATACCCCTGGGGAATGGTATGGTGGAAGAGAAGAGGCTTCAACAACAAAAAAGGAAAGCAGAGAATTTTGACTCAAATCTCCGCTTGGCCTCTCCTAATTGTGCGTGACTTTGGGCAAGTCACTTACCTCCCTAAGCAGCTCTATTCATCACCCGTGAACCAAACCCAGTGCTGCCCACCCCACAGGGATGTGATGTGTATCAGATGAAATAGTGCCTGTAAGGCCCTGGACCAGAAATCCCAGACTAGCAGGAATCATCTAACTTGCAAATACTTTTTGTTGGCCCACACAATAGCCCCTTCCAACCCTCACATCTAGGAAACATTTTCAAATATATAGAAAAATTGAAAAAAAAAAAAAAAAAAAGAAAAGTTGAAAGAATAGGGCCAGACACAGAGGCTCATGCCTGTAATCCCAGCACTTTGGGAAGCCGACGTGGATGGATCATGAGGTCAGGAGTTTGAGACCAGCCTGGGCAACATGGTGAAACCCCATTTCTAATGAAAATACAAAAATTGGCTGGGCGTGGTGGTGCGGAGTGGTAATCCCAACTACTCGGGAGCCTGAGGCAGGAGAATCATTTGAACCTGGGAGGCGGAGGTTGCAGTGAGCCAAGATCGTGCCATTGCACACCAGCCTGGGCAACAGGGAGAGACTCCTTCTCAAAAAAAAGAAAAGAAAAGAAAAGTTGAAAGAATAGTACAAGAAACACCTGTACACACTCCCCACCTGGATTCAATTAGTGTTATCGTTTTTCCACATTTATGTATCTATATTCATATGTTGAAAATTTTTATTTTTTACTAAATATTTAAAGGTAGGCCGGACAATTACGCCTGTAATCCCCGCACTCTGGGAGGCCAAGGCATGTGGATCGCTTGAGCTCAGATGTTCGAGACCAGTCTGGCCAACATGGCAAAACCCCATTTCCACAGAAAATACAAAATAATTAGCTGGGCGTGGTGGTGCATGCCTATAGTCCCAGCTACTTGGGAGGCTGAGGTGGGAGTATCTCTTAAGCCCAGGAGGTCGAGGTTGCAGTGAGCCGAGATAGCGCCACTGCACTCCAGCCTGGGAGACAGAGGGAGATCCTGTCTCAAGAAACAACGAGAAAAGTAAGTTGCCTTACTGGAACTTCCTGCCTTGATACTTTAGTAGCAAATCCTAAGGAAAATTTCATTATCCTCCAGAACCACAGTAATATTAAGAGAATTAACAGTTATACCATAACATTCTGTAACATCCAGTCAATCCTGGATAGACACAAAAAGTGAAGCTATCCTACATCTAAACTATGTACCAATGATCAATCTCTACTTCTGTCCCATCTGAAATAACAAGGCATCAAAATAAATTGGTTATGTTTTTAGGCCGGGTGCCGAGGCTCATGCCTGCAATCCCAGCACTTTGGGAGGGTGAAGCAGCAAGATAACTTGAGGTCAGGAATATGAGACCAGCCTGGCCAACATGGTGAAACTCTGCTTTTACTAAAAAATACAAAAATTAGCTGGGCGTGATGGCACATGCCTGTAATCCCAATTACTCGGGAGGCTGAGGCAGGAGGATTGCTTGAACTTGGGAGGCAGAGGTTGCAGTGAGCTGAAATTGTGCCATTGCACTCCTGCCTGGGCAAAGGCACAAGTGAGACTTCATCTCAAAAAAAAAAAATACAAAAATTACAAGCATGGTGGCGGGCAGCCTGTAATCCCAGCAACTCAGGAGGCTGAGGCACAAGAATTGCCTGAACCCCAGAGGCAGAGATTTCAATGAGCTGAGATCACACCACTGCACTCCATCCTGGGCAACAGAGTGAGACTCTATCTCAAAATAAATGAAATAAATAAATTGGCTTTTTTTTTTTGAGACAGAGTTTCACTCTAGTCGCCCAGGCTAGAGCGCAATTGTGTGATCTCGGCTCACCGCAACCTTTGCCTCCTGGGTTCAAGCAATTCTCCTGCCTCAGCCTCTCGAAGTAGCTGGTTTTACAGACGCCCTCCACCAAGCCCAGCTAATTTTTTTTGTATTTTTAGTTGAGACAGGGTTTCACTATATTGGCCAGGCTGGTCTTGAACTCCTGACCTCAGGTGATCCACTCGCCTCAGCCTCCCAAGGTGCTAGGATTACAGGCATGAGCCACTGCACCCGGCCAATTGGTTATGTTTTTAAATGGAAGAAAAAGATGACAGGGGGTCAGGCATCCCTACCTCAAACTCTTTCCTCCGCACTCCTTTTTCATCTCCAAGTTATTCATGTATTCATTTAACTATTCCGTCCCTCAGACAAACTCACGGTATTCTAATTTCTGCTCAAATGGTACCTTCTCAAAAAGACCTTTCCTCAAAAGTAGCTTACCTCTCCCCATCCCAGCACTCTCTACCCATAGCTTCCTCAGCTTCATTTTCCTCCACAGCACTTCTTATCCCTCTGACATTCTACTATACATGTGCCAGTTTACTTGTTCATTTTCATCTCCCAGATCAGAACATACACTTCACGAGAGCAGGGATTTGGTTTCACTCTTTGCTGGATCCTGTACCTAGCACCGTGCTCAGCAGCCAGTAGGTGCTGAATAATTGCTGAAGGATGACAGGTGTACAGTGAGTGTGCACTGGGCATGGCGGACACAAAGATGATTAAGACATGCTTGCAGCCTAGTGACATATGACCAACAGGAAAGTGACTAGCTGAGGGACTCTGTCATAAGGGCAGGACTCAGCATGGGTGACAGTAGGGAAAGGAGTCCTGTGAGATTCTAGATGGTCTTTGAGGGGACATTGAGACAGGTTTGCTCAAGGGGCAGTGAGAAGAGGCCTGCCTGGTTGGAGCAGCTGGTCCCCCAAGGAAAACAAAGAGGCGAGGGGTGAGGCTGGAGAGGTGAGGCCTGACCCTGTGGCTCAGCATGGGCCCTAGAATCGGTTGGATCTGGCTGCCAGTCTAGCTTCTTCCTTGCCCTCACTCTGTCATCTTGGCAAGTCATTTCACCTCTCAGAACTTCCATTTCTGCATCTCTGAAATGGAGATCAAACAGTTCCTTCCTTCTGGGATTGTGCACAGATTACAAATAGTGTCTCCATAAAGTGCCTGATATGTA